CGCAAAATCGCATCTTGCAAGCGGTTACGCTAAGTTGCTTCATATATGCAAATTTTGTAATTGTGTTAACATATGTGTAAAAACGTTTATCATTAATGATAAGTAATTTCACGTGTACTGATTTTACAGTCTTAAAAATGATAGTCTTAAATATAACGCACAACCATATATAGAAAAATATCATTCTATTGCTAATTGTAAAAAAGTGATTACTTGGTTTTCTTTCAGTAACTATTAACTTTAACAATAAATGTTTTCTTGATGATAGTAAAATATACTTATTACAAATTTAAGACAGAAAAACTCATCATCTCAAAACAAGAATTTCTTTCAAAGCATATAATAAAATTTTATTCAAAAGAAGTGACTTTATATAATAAGCAAATCGAATTTGTTTTAATTTAATAACCTTGAAGATATTATATATATTATATAAACTCCCAAAGATTTGGAATATATATAAATATATTTGCTATGCTCGTAAATATATGATAGATTTGAGAATATATAAACTTTTGAAATACTTGTGCGTGTATAAAGCAAATAATTTAAATATAATATATATTTTTCTATATACAGTTAAACTGATACTAGAAAGGGTTAATTGGTTTCTTTGGATAATCATTCTTAAAATAAATGGCGAATAATTTATAAAAGACATAGCAAAAGTGCTGATATAATCACTTAAAATGAAGAGAGAAGATCTCACAAGTGCAGTTTAACTTCAAGTTTTCAAAAAGTGGTTCGAATTTGCAATCCCTTTGATTGCACAATACCTCCTGCATGCTGAAACGTTCCAGACATATGTATGATCGATCAAAGAAAACTCGACTGTAAGAAGACTCGACATTTACTACGAATTTCTTTCCAAGTGAGGCGCGTTCTCTCGCATATTTATTACTGCCATGTTCATTTTTGCTTAAAAGAGAGACAATGTAATCGTCGCTCGCTTTCTCCTCCGTTCTCCGTCGGATTTGGCTCGTCTCCACATGATTTTTACAAAAATAGTCGCGCGTATGTAAAACCGGCGATGGCATAGCTCGACCAGATGAGATATCGCGGCACAGCTGCATGATTTCAGAATAAATAATTCAAAAGGTTTTATGAATTGCACGTTTTGAATGACAAGCGAGGCTGCGTGGCTGTTCGCGATAACAACGAATGTCCATCTAACGAGATGCAGATATCGATGTCGAAAAGGAAGGAAAGAGAGAGAGATATTTTCGTCGCTCACATAAATATCTCGGAGGAAATATTCTTGGCCTTTTATCGTGTGAGCATTCATCGCGCCAATCGAGCGGTCAATCTATTTGAAGAAGCGCGTATTCTCTCCGATGGACGATAATCATGATAATACAATTAGAATATACAGCGTACTACACGCTCTAATCGATACGAAAGAGATATTGTGCCTTATCCTTATTTTATAAATTTATTATCTATTTATAAATTTTCGATCACTCATCGGATCTTTGCCAATGGAAAGTTACGCGCAAAACACGAAATCTTTTAGAAGTTATTAAATTATATATATATATATATTTTTTTTTTATCATTGGTATATTCACGCAAATCAGTACTAGCACTGACTAATGTCTCGTGTGAATCTATTACTTTACGAAATCTTTTTATTAAAAAATATAAAATAATACGTTAAAGGGCTCAGAGCCCTTTAAAAGATTATATTAAACTAATCAAAATACAGACAGATATTTTGATTAGTTTAATATAATGTTCTGTAATTTTAATAATAGCGAAGAACATCTTGCTTTTGCTCTGAGCCCTTTAACGGATTATATTAATTTATTTAATTGAGCATTGAATTACGTTTTTATTTAAAAAATATAAATTTTTTTTTAGAATAGCAGACTATGTACGTCATCCGCCATAATCGTGCCATAATTTTCTCTCCTTGATAATGGCTGAGACTATGAGTCACGCCGTTTAGTGACACCTGCACTGGTATTTACATTTGTCAAGACATGCTTAAAACAAGTAAAAAAATTAAACAGAATTATCGCGCTTCAAGTTATACGTTTTCCATTCAAGTTTTCTCAAACTCTTGTCATATATAACATCGTATAGCGTTTAATTTATGGTCCCAGTTAAACATAGAAAAGTACAACAGGAAAGTAAAACAATCGATACGCGTGTTGGAATCAAAGTTTTTTTCTGACACATATAATTCAACATTAGAATTGGAATGTGGAAATGTTCGTATTAATCAATTGTCAGGATTCAACTTCAATCACTCCATTTATAAACATTATAATATAATGTTAATGTAACCTTTATCTTAATTGATTTGAAATGGAATAAGCGTGAAAGAATGAGAAATTGAATCGCGCGAGAACTAGCCGAGCTAGTCAAGCAGACGGATTTATCGTGGCAGGGCGTGGTTACGCCGGACAACGCGACGTTCCTGCGTGGACAACACGAGCGACGCATGGCGCCGCGGCGCGCGTCCACCGACGTCGAATGATCGAATGTCGATTCACTGCAGACAGTGCAGACAGCGCAACAGGATGAAAGGCGATGAAACACACCTTTGACGGAAAGTCGAATAAATGGTAGCGAGCGAGAAGTTGGTCGCTGTGCTTGGGCGGCATTTGCATCTTCGCGACGTAAACGTTAAGCTCGTAGCGAAGAAATTGATAGCGCGGCAACGTTCAGGGCGTTCGGTAATATCAGTGGCGCGGGCCGCGCGGGCGTTATCCCGAGGTCTAGAGGGAGAGAAAAAAGGAATATGAGGAAAGTGTACTGACCTCGATGTCTAGCTTCCCCTTGGACGCCATCTTGACAACAAGCCGGTGGCGCTCGGGCTTGACGTAGTTGACGTTTACTCCGGCTATACCTGCTGATACCTGCTGCGCGCGTCGGGGCGCGTGTCACACGTCTGTCTCACCGTCTCACGATGTCCTCGACACGGTCTTCTTCCGCAACAAACACTGAGAGCACAACTCCCTCCGTCCGTGGCACACGCGCGAACTGATCGCGCGCGACTCGATTGACTCGATTCGCGTTCCCTAATCGCTACCCGTGTAACCCGTGCGGCCGAAACAGGCCGAAACGCGCCGCTCCGCGCGAGCCCGACACCACCGACCGTCGCAAACGCCCAACTCTCGTCTGTCTCGTCTCCGAGAAAGAGACAGAGCGACACCCTACCCACCCGATGGTAGGAGGGGGGGGGGGATCACTGGCACACCGTGACGTCACAGCCACAACGCGACGCGCTTTTTCGCGTAACGGTCGTCGGTCAGTAATAACGGCGTAATGCAATAAACTTTACGTCCTCGCGAGGAAATGGCGTGATCGAAACGATCAACGAACGAAATGAAACCAACCGGTCGTCTCACGCCGCGTACCACGCCACACCACGAAATCCCTTTCACTCGATATTCAACTTTGACGCGACGTTTGATCTCCCGTCCCGCCGCTAATTTTCCCTCTCGTCCGCCATCTTGCCGTAACTGCCGCCAGCCGCACCTATGACGTCACGGACGTCGACGTGTCCGTGGCGTCCGCGCAACATGTGTATGATATGTATTGTATCTTTCCCCGTTCCATCTCGCTCTTTCTCTTTCTCTCTTTTCTCTGCGAGAGAACTGCTTCCTTCTTTCTAACATCACCTCTCGCGCATAGACGTAGCGCGCGGCCGCGACTCACGCTTACGATGTAATGTAAATAAATTCAAGCACATGGAATAATATATTTATATAAATAATATATTAAAAAGAAAAATTCTTGGACTCGTAAAAGTTTTAGTCTCTTCTCATAAAAAAACTACAACCTGATGAGAGAGGTTTAATTACATTTAATATACATTGCTTTACACTCGCGCTTTATATGATTGATTGTTTTTTTATATGATTGATGTCAGAATACCGGACCATGCAAAATCATATAAAATCTTTTTATAAATCATTCGTGAAAAGATACTCGAGGCCATTTTCTCATTTCAAACGCTTTTCATAATAGTTTCATTAAATAGTTACTTATTTATACGATATTCAAACAATGTATCTATCATCAATTTAATAATTTACGAAAGAAACAAGATTGAAGATATTCTATAAAGATGTTAGTGTTATAAAAAATGTTCTACAACACGAAATATGCAGCAATGTTATTTTGAAAGATTGCAATATTTCATAAAACATTGCTGCAATACTGTAACAATGTCCGCAAAAATAAAATATTATTGCAATATTTAAAGAAATATGGCATACATATTACTATAACATTATGCAATCTTTCAATAATTATTCTAATTTTATTAATTGCTAACATATTATTGTATGCGTTTAGCATCATATTCCAAAACATATACGATAAAGTTGTGATCAAAAAATATTCAGAGACCTAGAAAGCACATCCAAAGCTAAATTCAGATTCCTATCTGAGTGCCAACTAAGTATGACTCCATCCTTGTTATTTATCGAATGTTAAATAAAGATGGCACGGACCGGAGGGAAATACCTGAGATAAGAATCTGAACACGCCACAAAAAAGATTAGGAATGTTTAGGAGACTCGCTCGATCCTTATCCTGGACATTTTCTCCTTACGAGAAACGTATTCTTCTCGTGATAGGACCGCGTACTTATTTACTGAATTGTAATATTGCAACAATGTATTGCAACAAATTTATAATATTTTCTACAAAATATTAAAATTGCAATATTTTGCAATATTGTTGCAATATTTCCAATACAATATTAAAATTTCAATATTGGAATAATATTGCTGCAATATTTCGTGCTGGAGGGGAATTTTAATTATTATTTAAATTAATTATGAAATTTGTTATTAAAGTTTCGATTCTATTAAATAATAAAGTTGCACATGTTGTCTGTCACGCGTTATTATCGTATCATTTATTTTGAAAAAAAATCAATAATAACGTTAACGAAAATTTCATACATAAATTTATTTAATTTTATTTATTACATCACTGATCTGTTACAATATTGTTCAAAAATTTAACAATTTATGTCAAAGAATAAAGAATATTCGGATAATACACTAATAGAAGAGTTAAATTGATTAAAGCTATTGAGGTGACGGGAGTCTTTTATTTTATTTATCAGTCACCCGGCCATCCAACTTGAAGCATACTTGCGAGTTGTTCTTTTCATCATTCAGGGAGAACTCGATGGTCATTTCAATAGACGGATAATTCTTAGATATCGGCATGACGAGATTGTACGTTACATTGTCGCCTTTGCTCAAAGGACATTTGCTATTCGTCAGAGACTCGCATGCATTCGGATAAGGATACGGATAAGTTATCGTCATCCCCAAGATTGTGACTTTCACGAAGACTATCAGTTTTTCTACATCAGCGTCTGCAAGAGACATTACATAAAAAATTAAATGAGTTAACGATAAATGGCCAGTATATCCTTGAGTAATCATTCTTCAAATAATATATACAAACCATTGAGAATAAACGATATTTCAAGAAGAATTCGCTAAATTTTGTCAGCAAGAAAGCTACGCTCTCGTCAAGCAACATCTATTGGTACGATGCTGGTAGAAATATCATAAGTTTTACCAACGAAACGCGTTACACAAAACAAACTTCGAAACGAATACGCAGCTAACATAATTTGTTGACGGAAATTTAGCAATAGAATCGGCTTCAATTTGTTCAAAGCTATGTTCGACAAATTCTATTCAGCTTTCGTGGTCAATGTTATACCATCAATACTGCTAATAGTATTACGTTTGCAACTGCGAATCGTTCTAAATGAGAACGCAAGCTTAATGTTAATTCGTTAATAATTTGTGCTCGGATCT